AATATTTGGAGGCACTAGTGGAATCTATATAGTCTAGATAAGAGCAATGACCAGTGGGAGGCAATTGGAAAAGGTATCCTACGATCTGCATGTGTTCGCATCTAGCACCAGTGGTAAGCACTAATCATAGATCTAATAACTTCCATGGACATGCCCTGATTCTGTGGAAGCATATTGTGATCTAGTTAAATATTTTGTTAGACCCAAGGCCTGGCTGGGTGGATTCTGTGGAACATCTACTAGCTCCACTCAAGTCTAGAAATATGGTTCAGGTGGAGGATCAATGTCTTTGGGCGTTTGAGAAACCGTAGGTTCTTGACACTTCCCAGGTACGAAATGCTTGATCTGGGCCCACAGCCCTAAACAACTTCGCATGAACCCAGTGGTGACACAGAGCTTCTTATGAGGGCCACACCCAACTGACCAAACTGTGAGTCGGAACCACGTTTATCTGTACCTGGAAGGATCGCCTTTTTAGTCGCTGGGATATGTAGATTATTGTAAGAGGTAGTATACGAGTAGTGTATAAGTGATGACGTAGGTTAAGATCCGTGTGGAGAAGCAAATTAGGGGAAGTGTAGGGCGATCCCGAGAGAAGAGCACGTCTCCCGAAATAGATCTACTCTATACTCTATGTACTGTATTTAGTACTATGCTCCGAAAGTGCCCCGGGGTCTAGGCAAAATGTGGCTGATGATGTCATATATGAAGATGGTAATGTCGTCACGCTAGCATTTAGTATAATACAGCCCGTATGGTGACGAACTAGAATCTTCTATCTTCCGGCCATTCACGCCCCTCAACCGTGTGAAGAACATCCGGATTACTGTAGAGTAAATATTTGATATAGAGGGAAAGGCATTTCTTTGTATCAAGGTCATGTGGAAGACGGCGCCATTTCCCCGCATCTACGGCTAGATCAAGGCTAAATACGTTACGCCTGCCGCGAATCCGTTAAGTAGGCCATGTGATCCGAGTTATAACAGATCACTGTAGACAGGTGGGAATGTTTCTCCACAAGAGGAATGCCGAGCCAAACCCGTAAATAGGTAAGAGATGTATGGCTCGGATCGCCGGATGTGAGCCCCCCGGGCTTTCTCAATGGTGTTGTCATCGAATTCGGATTTGCTGTTCGTTGGCACTTTTTTTTGGGTTATGTTCTCTTATCCCGTGGATCAGCGTTCATTTTAGTTTAAGTAGTTCGCCTTTTCTTTCTATACGATTTTTTCAACGCCACATTACGCCTTACAACTAAAAATCATAAAAAGATCAAGGAAGACGGAAAAGGAACGACAAATCCACTTCCTCGACCAATCCTACACGTCGAAAATAGAGATCTGCATAATGATCGGAGCTGTCTTATGAAGTCAGCTCCCCCGAGAATTCCATCTTCCTACAGTCTCCTTGCGTGGGATTCAAGGGATCAGAAACAAAACATCGCACAAGATTAAAGATCGAAGGTATGGTCTGTTCTACACATTCCCTGCACCCGTTGTATTTTCTTTGACCATTTGAGCGTCTTTTCCCAAGACTGCCCAATTTGGCAACATAAACATCCAAGGGTTATAAACAATTCTGGGAACCTTCGGGATGCCCGAATACGATGATGGGTGCTAACATAATCCCTCTGCCAGCGCAACTATTCTCGCGGTCGGCCTCTAGCAACCCCACCCCGCACTCGGAGTTCACAGGACCGTCATTAGGAGTATCAATTTCCAATCTCATCACACGGTCGGCTCGTACCGTGTGTATCGAAAACCACCACATCCCTAGGAGTCGTCGGGGCTCAATCCTCAAAAAGCTGGCGGGTCCACGTGAAAACGCAAAGCGATTCCTTCGCTTGCGGTCGTCTGGAATTCAGGCACCTTCGCTACGTCCTCGTGTACGACCAGTTTCGGAAATTATACTGTCGCCGACATCGGTCGACTTGGAGGACGAGATGCGATCGGAGTCGTCATCTACCGAGGTGTTACCTCGCCCAGTACCTGAACACACTGTGACCACCGAGACTACTACTCCATTTACTCCCTTGCGAAATGAGAAAATTGTAGCCACTGGAAGTGGCATTTCTGTCGGTATTGCCCTCACCGAACCCGTTCTTTACTTGCAGGGCTATGATCAGCAAGACCCGAGTAGTAAAAAGTCGGCAATTCTGCGGGGACAAATGCATTTGAAGGTTACCAAATGTGTCAAGATCAAGAAGATCTCGGTCTGCTTCCGCGGCCATGCTCAAACCGATTGGCCAGATGGTATGACTCTACAGAAAATGACACTTTCGACGCAAGCTTACATTGTTCAGGTATCCCCCCTAAGAAGATCCACTTCCATGACAAGAAGGATCTCTTCACGCATGGTGTGGTCTACTTCAACCACGGTGACACTGCGCTCATGCAGAATGACTATGGCGCGCATTACTATCAGCATGCGAAACCGATATCATCTGTATCCGGAAAGGAAGGAGTGACGATGACAACTCGAGAACTATTTTCCAATCGCAGTTCTGCCGCCACACTCGCCCTACCAACCTCTCGAGATGCCAAACGTCTTTCCCTGCAACCTAACCGTGGCCATTCGCGCAGCGTCAGCAAGAACGAAACCCCGATTTCCCAACCCCAACCCCAGCGGAATTACCGCATGTTCCCTGTAGGCGATTATTTATACAGCTTTGAGTTCCCAATCGATGGATCATTACCAGAGACTATCAAAACGGATCTGGGGTCTGTGAAATACGATCTGGAAGCAATGGTGGAACGAGCAGGCGCATTCCGACCCAATCTCCTCGGCGCCATGGAAATCCCTGTGATTCGTACCCCTGCCGAGGGTTCACTGGAGCAAGTCGAGCCGATTGCGATTTCGCGGAACTGGGAAGACCAGCTTCACTATGACATTGTCATCTCGGGGAAGTCCTTCCCGCTGGGCTCGCAGATCCCGATTGCGTTCAAGTTGACCCCACTCGCAAAAGTGGAGTGCCACCGAATCAAGGTCTATGTGACGGAGAATATCCAACATTGGACCGCAGACAAGAGCGTACATCGATTGCAACCAGCGAAGAAGGTGTTGCTTTTCGAAAAACGAGCAGACTCGTCCAGTGTGAGCACGTATCCCGGCAGCTCCATGCGTGTCACCGCAGGCGGCGGCATCGACTGGGACCAGCGCGCTGCCGCCGCAAGAGGGCAGGAGATTGTGGATCGGAATCGGACCAATCTGCTAGGTAATCTGTCTAGTGATTCTGGTGTCGGTCCAACTGAGATGGAATTCAACGTGCAACTGCCAAGTTGCCACGAAATGAAGGGCCGGGACGAGAGTCAGCGGCTGCATTTCGATACCACATACGAGAACATTCAGATCAACCACTGGATCAAAGTATGTCAAAATGTCTTGTCTCTTCGTGTCTTAATTATACTAACCGATCCATGCAGATTGTCCTCCGTCTATCCAAGGTCGACGAAAGAGACCCCACAAAACGAAGACACTTTGAAATCTCCATAGACTCGCCATTCCACATCCTCTCCTGCAAGGCCACCCAGGCCAACATCTACCTACCAGCCTACACAACCCCCGCCGAAGAACCCGCTCCCCCCGCCCAAGAATTCGAATGCGGATGCCCTGGCGCATCCCTCACACCCCGCGAGCAAGTCACCGTCCCGGCAACTTCCGATCGTGAAGACAGCAACCCTGCACTATCAACCATCGCCCGCCGCGGCTCAACCGGCCACAACTTCTCCCGCAGCTTCACAAATGACTCCGGCGGCCTAGCCCGGCCACCACAAGCACACCTCGCAGAACCACCACACGAACGCAACGTACTCATTCCACCTCGCCCAATGCATCTGCTCCGCGCACCATCCTACGCGCCTCCCGCTTTCGATGAGGTTCCTCCCGCGCCGCCGCTTGTCACTCCACCCCCGGAATATAATAGCATCGTCGGAGACGACCGAGAGGCGGTTCTCGAGGACTATTTCTCCCGTTTATCGTTCTATGAAGAACACGAGGACGATGACCGCGGTCGTGGCCGCGTTGATGTACCCCTCACGCCGGGTGGACGTGTCAACCGCAGCATGGATGTGCCCCGCGAATGGGTGCGACTCGAAGACTATTTCCAGTAATACCTCCTTTGAAGCATTTTTCTTCCCACAAAAAAACGAGTTGTCACGAGGTCTGAATCATGAATTTACGCTTTGTCCATATTGGGATTGGTGTCAGGCATATGTTTTCCAGCGATGCTATCTATCCTTTAGATCTGACTCCGAATCTGAGTCCGGCTCTTCTCATTCTTCTATTTCTTCTTTTTCTTCTCCTTCTCCTCTCTGGAGCTATATTTGGGATGACTTTCTTTTCGTTCAACAGCACTTGTTTATGATTTATGCAGGACCGGCTTTACTTTTCGGCTGTTAATACTGGACTTTGTTTTTGTGATTGGGGGCAAAAGGGTGAAATGGGCCATTTAGTCAGATATCTTATAGATACATGTGGTAGACTGAGCTATGATCAAATATTAGAATATCAGAACTATGCAGAAATCCCGAACTATCATACAAAAGTGGAACCCTGGAGATAAGAGCTGATGTGTCAGCGATAAGGCCGGGCAACCTTCCGAAGAACGCATCGAACTGCCTTCCCCAGTTTAGCTCTCCCCACATCTGCTTCTCCAAGTTCCAACAGTCACAGTTTTTTTCTTTTTCTCCTTCTACCTCTGTTATCCAAAGTACTTTGACCTTACCCAAATCGCGAAAATCTACATAACTAGGTCCTACAGGGTCCCTTAGCGCACTTCGGGACTTTTCAGACGGACGGCGCTGATTGGCTCACGCTTAGTTATATAGGTGAGTTAGCATATGCGCTATAGGTAGACTGGAAGAAGCAAAGAACAATTCTGACTATATTCAGTGAGCAAAAAACGGCTCTGGTCCATCCTCGACAACCGGATTCTTCAATTTTTCGGATATTCGATCCTTGCACCCGGAAATTTACCCGCCGTACAAACTCCGCAAGCTGCCATTATGGCCGTTGAAGTCGTACCTCTCACTGAGGCAGATATCCCTGGTGCTATTGAAATTATTCAGCAGGCATTTGCAGATGATCCTTATTTCAAATGGGTCTTTGATTCGTCAAAGGTACGTTGCATGTTGAGAGACAGCCACCAAAAAGAGACACATGGCATTCACCTACTCCTAATACCAGACTAACATGCATCTCTCTCGTGACACGGTCAAAGTGACCGGCAGTTACGTCTCCTGAGAGATAACTACACGTATAGTTCAACAAGCAAAGAAACTACGATTCCCTCGCAGCACGCTGCCATTGGGGAATCAAGAATGCACTATTCCACGTCGCAAAGGAAACCCAATGTGTCGACTCCAAGTCCCCCAGCACCCCAATCCCAATCCTCGGGGTCTCCTGCTGGCTAGCGCCCCACCCGCCCACGCAACCAGAGAGCTGGTACTCCTGGTTCCAATCATGGACCCTGTCATTCAACCAGATGCTGAATAACATTCGGTACTTTGGCCGCGGCGGGCTGCGCACGAACAGGTACTGGATCTGGAAACAGCGGCAGGCCGAGGCCCAAGCTGCCATATGGGATGATCCGCGCGGGTACTATTTCTGCAATATTGTTGCTGTTAGCCCCGAGGCGCAGGGGATGGGTATTGGGAGGTTGTTGTTTGAGGCTGTTACAAAAATAGCGGATGATGAGGGGGTCAAGTGTTATCTCGAGAGCTCGAAGAATGTGCCCAATGTGGCGATCTATGAGCGTATGGGCTTTCACATGAGTAAGGAGATGGAGTGTCGGGATGGGGTGGATGCTTGCATGGTATGTACATTGTACTTGTTTTGTGGTCTTTGGTCCCGGGGTTGGGATTCGTTTGAGCTGTTGCTGACTTTGATTGTTGATAGTTGTACTGCATGGTCCGGGATCCGAGGAAGGAGTGATTTCGCTGCTGTTGCTTTTGCTTTTGATTTTATGACTTAGCTTGGGCCAAATTCTGATTTTGGCTCCTGGCCGAATTGTGAGTACGACATGGATCCGTCCGCAATGATATTTGAAGAAATGTGAACAGATTTCCTTTAATCAAATGGATCCACATACCTAGCAACGAACTACGGAGTCAATATTTCCTGGTAATCTTAACTCCGGCCCCATTGTAAACCAGCCCCAACGATCCGATCCACCTATCTCCTAATCCACAAACGGGGAAAGATAGCTCGGGTCTAATCAAATATCATATTTGCGGTAACGGAATACGAGAATGATGTGTGAGATGCACATCCACCATAGTCCATCCGTTTGCAACGATCCAACCCGGAGAATGATTCATCAACCTTTCAATCGGACCTTTCCCCAAGCTAGGATGCCTGCATATTGATCTGTTTATATTGTTGCACCTGGACGAGAGGGGCAGTAGTCTCTGAATCCACACTTTAAGCTTATCCAGTCATATTCAAGCTAATACGCCGAAGTTCTAACGGTCTGGTTTTCCGGGAAATATCCAATCATCCCAGGTTCTGGATGATGTTTCAGATCCAGTCTAGTTTGAATATTGCACAGACTGGTCGGTTTCTTGCTTCGGAAATTCCCTCGTTGTACCAAGGCTCGTGCGTTGATCGAGGACATATATATCTGAGACTTGGAAGGGACCTGTAGATTTAATGAACATTAGATCACTAAGTATTTGAAAACGACACTTCTGGATTCGGATAAAGTCATTATCTTGAATATTTGTTTGAAATGCGCGTACATCTCCTAGGGCATACCTAGACTCTAGAGATACGGACATTGCTTTTGACTGCATTCCTTTGATCGTTACTATGTTTCTCCTTCTGCTACGAAAGCTATGGATCCGACGAAGATCAGATGTGGATAAATCTTCCACTTCCTCAATTACGTCCCAAGAGCTCGATTTCCAAGAGAACGAACCACATCTACCTGAAACAATGACTACCACACCACAACACGACGAAACAGACCACATTGTCAATCAACTAGCCGCCCTTGCAGCTACCGTGAGCAATACATCAATCAACAGCGTCTCATCATCGATTGCTCCGCCCATAGCGAAGCCACAATCAGCAGCATCGAGCCTCAAACCACAGCAACCAGAAGAAGAATCATTCTACCATCTTTGTAGTCTGATAACAGTCTCCTGCTTGCCGCAGCATATGCCAGACCATACACAAACACCTTCAGCCTCAACACTAGGCTCCAACTCAGGGAAAAGCAGAAGTTCAATCTTTGATCGGAAGAGAGCGTCATCGATTCTGAGTTTGAATCTTGGTGATCTACCGAGTTTGCCGTTTCCCTCGAAGGAGAAAGTCTCGCCCAAGCCTCGCTCGAGATATAGTCCTCTACCTCCGCCATTTGTGCAGAGGAGGCTTGCCATTCGGCCCGAGGTGCGCTTCTAGGGGCTCGGGGTTGGGCTAATGGTGGATTGTTTAGGCTGTTTTACAGCAAGTTGAGATTTTGATTATTTGTGCTCTTGTTCTATGATATCCCAGGTGGAAATAATGTCTATTATCTATCATCTCATGTTTACGTACTGCTACTGGCTTAGTTGTTTAAATGTTGCTATCAATCACTGGTTATACATGGAATATCATTTTATCGTCGGCTTATATTTTTATATCGTAGACTGATAAACCCGGCATCTCTACTCTGTACTATTCTTCCCATTTCTGGTCGCACTTTTATACCTCGTTATTATCCTTTTAGCTATAACGGTGAGAAGAACGTACCTTCAAAAATAATATGAAAGGGACGTTTAAAAGGACATATAAAATGGCTGCGCATATTCTGTATTTGGTAACTATATGTAAATATGCCCATTCTTCTACGAAACAGCTAAAACGCTAAGAACAGGAGAAACCGTGTAAAATGGACATCCGAAGATATCAGAGTGATATCTTAACTATCATTAACGTCATTGATATCATCTTGAGCTAAATATATTATGCAACTGAACTACATCGCCAAGGACATAGCATAAGGGGCCGATTATTATTGTTACTATGTACCTCGGTATCGATAGTGATCTATGGCGTGGTATGCAGGTATATATATGTAACTTACGATGTAGTACCCCTTGTAGCTTTACGATATATACTGCACCTACCCGTATTCGCTACAGCACAGCTCTGGTGTCTATTCGTTCACCGTGTTTTGTCCCAAAAGAGATAATAGCATCTCCAAGTGCGTGATCTGCAGGGTATCCCGGCAGCCGCTAAGCTTGGAAACCTGTTTGCCCACGCTAACACACAAAACACATGACATGCCACACACATCTTAAAACCCCTGCATCAAACCGAAGTCGAACCCCACTCTCGGAGTAGCGGATCTGACTCGCGAAAATGGTGCAGATCGTCGGGTCTTTAAGGCTAACGGCTCGGTGTTTCTTTCCGAGCAATAACGGCCCGGTATTTATCTTGGGTCCTAGGATCTTTTATATTGCATTCGACTCAGTAGATGAACTTAGAACCAAATCCCGTGTACTTGGCAATACTTGGATTTATACAACATAGTCAGTTGTAACTGTAACAATGAGATTAGTTGCTTCGAAATCTTGTCAAATCGGAATCATTCCAGCTCTAGCCTTGTTGCTGTCCTCTCAGACGTAGGTACCTACGTATACACCGGGATTGTGCAAACCTTTCACTTTTCTTTAGACGGGATAGACGCGAACGTGAATTGTGGGGGGGAGAGGGGCGAGGGTGACCTCGAGATCCACACCGTCCATATATACAATATACAACATGCGTAAGGTCGATGGATTTTGATATATTGATAGATTAGGGTGATCTACAAACTTCAAACCACCCGCCCGTTTATATGCATGATGTACACTTTAGTGTATATAACGTTGTGGGCGGGCTCATCTCCGTGCTAGACAAGACTATTGATGTTCAGTGATATTCGGACCCGGCAACGGCAAAGCCTGAAACGGGATGTTTCAGCTAGTTCAGATTGGTAGAAGTGCCGGGATTCGCCCCCACTGCCGATCAATTCCTTTGTTCCATTATTCTTTCTCAATCTTGAGGTACGTATCTCGAGCACGACCCTCCTAGAGGGGGCGGGTAAGTAACCGGTTGTGGCTTCGGGACTCCACTCTGAAACTCGATTTATGCACACAAACTGTTGTCAAAGCCGCTGATGATATTGGCATTTTTGGGTTATATTGTGTCTGTTGTCGGACTTGACCATATAGTTGGATTACGGAGTACTCTAATAAGGTTCATAGCGGCTGATATCTTATCCATAGCGTAAAACGTGGAGTCGCTGGTGGGTGAAAACACTTGGTGGGATGGGTTAGGACTAAATGATTAGGCTGCAGATATCTTTCGGAAACAAATCACCAACCCCCTTGACCCTTCGGGGACATCTCGTTAGATTTTACTTGCCGAGACCTATACCTCTAATGCACGAAACCTATTTTTATTGAAGAGAACAATACAAGTATCGGAGGAAATACTACAAATAAGATCAAGGAAAGATCAACGGGCCCCACTGTAGAAATAGATTAATGTTTCGTTGAAAAGGAACGTGCCAATAAAAACTATTCAGCGATAATATATGACCCGTTATATCAACGAATCGCATGGTTTCCGGTCCAACAGGGTTTGTCGCCACAATATCCGGCAGGAGAACAAATAAGGTAAGAACAAGTGTGCGCAACCTGTTTTGCTCTATTTAGATATTGATGTCCAGGTATGCTGAGTCGACGGGTTTATAGGGACCACTACAACTTAGGCCACAGAGGTCTAGATGCGCAATTTTCCTTCCTCAAAGGATGAGATCCCCTGTCGGTGGCTCAATCGTGGAAATGATAGCTATGTCGTCCAATATGACTATCATGGCTACCAAGCTCCGAGCACCAGCCCCGTCCGTGGTTATCCGTGCCGCGGCCGTTGGACCATTAAACTATGGTATTTATGAGCATGTGAAAAAAAGGCACGTTAGCTCAACAAAAAGGCTTTGGGCATAACAGTCTAGATAGTAGCCTATACAGGGCCCATGTGCAGTGTACCTTTATTTTGCGATGCCGTAATATAAACCGTAGGCTCGGTAACTAGAAAGATCCGACAAAAATAAATAAACTAAATAAATCGGAAGATATTATATACAAACCACCGGCGGCCTAGCTTCCATAGATCATTATCCGTGCCACTTACCCGATTCGGCCGTCGACATGGTGTCCATAATCTTCAGGGGTGGAATAAGCGGCATAACAAGACTTGGCTTTCGGTAATTGTACAACGTACGTTGTACTTGTCCCGATGCGTACAGTGATATTGATATCGCAGCCTATTATTGCTCGGGTTATTCGATACAGTTCCCAACAAGCGACAAGCTCATTCACAATCTATGATAATTGCCGGGGCCAAGCAAACAATTAATGCAGAACAACGCAATGACCTAGCATTCTATTGAATACAGTGGTGGAACGCACAGACTTAGCGTAGAAGAAAAAAGGAAAAAAGAAAAGGAAACTCTAATAGTCGGTTCATTTCCGGAAAAGCCTCGAATTAGTGTAAATGGAAAAGAGAAATTGAGAAATATGCAAGTGTGAAACGGATTGGGCGCATTCTCAGATTCTCGGGCTTTTTTCCATTGCACATTCTAGTTCAGGAATTAGTTCAGAAGGGACTATAACATAGGGGTACCTAGGTAGCTGCCACGGATCCGTGGACCGCCGGTGCTAACTCGGAAGGCCATCTATCAGCCGTGGATCCACCACCTCGGGTTCCTCGGGTACCAAAGCCCTAAGTTCTTATGTGTTTCCCTCCCGGGACCCTATATGTTCTATTCATCGGTCCCTTACAAAAGTTACACGCATCGTGCCCTAGTATATTTCCGGAGCTGCAAGGTGGAAGGTGAAAAACAGTATAGATGGGGGAAAAAAAAGGAAGCTAACTTGAGAAAAGGACACAACTAAGGAGACAGTATAGAATCCCTGCAAGGGGAGGGGTTGCACTATATTCAACCTCTACTTCTTCAATCGGGGACCCCGGGGTGGAGATTGCATGTTCTTGGCTATGTGCTGGGAATTTATAGTTCCATGGATTATACCCTGTAATATTTCTCAACAGATGACGAAAATGAATTCCAATATTTCCTAACTTCCGTGCGTCCTATCATGAAAAAGCACGGACTCGATCGGGGGGAACATCCAACCGTTATAAGCGGACCAGGCAAAGCTGCACGAGGGGCCATTGCCGTAGATAGTCACCCTGCGGGAACTAGGTACATGGGTCTTGCATTCAATGCTCATGGGACATAGGTACCTAAATATCTCTCAAGTCACTTGGTTGTCGTCATAGGTTTTTTTATTTTTTTATTTTGGGGCGGCTTTCTTGCCGCACGGTATTGGGCAAGTCTCCCCCCCCCCCCCCCCCCCCTTCCCCCTGGCCTGGGCATGGCGGAATGTGATGGAAAACAGAACAACCACGTCGCGCATGCGGCCCCTAGAGACCTAGACTGAATGAATTGAATTCCTATCTATAAGAATTTGGGTCCAAACGTTGTTGAGAACCAGTCAGAGAAGGCGAAGGAAATATATCCGTTCCGTGTATCGTAACACGCATGTGATTTAGGGACTATATCGAAAATTGGGTATACTTATACAATATATATTTTTTTCACCTTCCTGTCCCTTGGAAGAGAGCTCTCAGGTTATCCCAAAATGAACTCAAACAAATAGATCCAGGGCTTGGAGTGAACTGTAAGACGAAATCTCCGGATTGGGGAGTCAAGGCCCAAAAATCAGAACGGTCCGTCTAAATCGCATATATGAAGCCCACCAGACGCCCAAACGAGGTACCAGACGCTAGAAAAAACAATAAGGTAAAAGGAAATACAATGATACTGGAAAACATAAACGCTTGCAAAGCCAATGAACATCAACACAAGGTCAATAATCCGAAGTATCGGAGAAATAAAACCCAGTCGACTGCGAAGCAAAGTTTACACCAGCACTCTGCCCCACAAATTCAAGCAAATGAATCAGAATTTTAAAAATTTGTCGATCATAGTCACGTAAAAAAAGGTTGAAATGTTTCTCAGAGAGCCGCGTTTGTCGGAGGGTCGGTTGCACCCGAATAGTTCCTGATGACGGAGTATTCGCCAAGAACGGACAGGAGGAAGCGGGATGGGAAAAATTCGGAAAAATGACCTTGACCGAGTTTCAGATGTGAAAATTTGATTTCGAATGCTCGGCCCAAAGTATCAAATAATAGGGCAATCACCGAGAGCAAAGTACACATTTTCCGACTACCACAATGAAGCGGTCGTGTGGACTGTCGTTGCAAGTGCTATTGTCTTTTGTTCCTTCCATTTCGGTGCGGAGGAAGTGAGAGGCGGGATTGGAGCAGGTGGAGTATATGTAGAAGTTCTTGAAAAGGTTGCACATTTCGATCCCACCGGGGGAGAGATTGGAGCGTTTGTGAAGTTGGCCAGTTGCGATGGGGCGAGAGGGAAGTATAAGAATGAACGGGTTGGAGATATATAGATCTTTCGGTGTAGGAAAATAGAAAAGTATGGAGGTTCGACTAGATATAAGAGTAGGAAAGATGGACAAATAAATCATAAAAAAAGATAAAACATAATTAATTAAAAGAAAGAAGAAAATTACTTCCATTAAGGATAAAGAGTATACAGTACTGCACGGCATCCCCACCATCTCCACCCCTAAAAACCCTCAAAGCGGGTCCTGCATAAGGGCTTTAATTTAGTATGACCGTTGAGGACTTTTTTGCTTATTAGTTTTGCTTTTTAGTAGTACTTTTGTTTCTTTTATCTTAATTTCTAGGGAAAGCTTTGTTAAGAGGCATCAACATCGGGTAGATGGGAGATCGACACGGTTCCTCACAGCCGTTGATGCTTCTTCAGTTCACACGTGGCGCTAGTCGGGATCTTCATGCATGAGACAAATACCCTCGGCATTCTCTTAAATCTTGAGAACTCAAGCTAAATTGCCTCAGTGACCTTTTTTATTTATTTTTTTAGTCCAAGGGTCAGGCGAACATGGAGGATTCTCGTAGAGAGTCTGGTGACAATCATGTAACATTGTGCAAGACTAGGCCAGTTGGAAAACCCGGAGAAAGGATGCGTTGGGCAGTCAGAGAGGGTGATAGTCTAATCATCAAGCCGAGGTGGGAAAAAAAGCAAGGGGCTTCACACCTCTCAGCCTCTGTGCCACATAACAATATTGACGAATAACTACCAAGAACTATCCAGAGTTGGAGGTTGTATATTGTGTATGTATGATTTAATATGATAGAACAGAATATTATCCGAGGATCAGACCATGAGTCGAGTACACAGCCCTATAAACTGTTCTGGGACTTGGCCAAATCAAGGTCGTTCAACGTAGTAGCGTTGATGACAGCAGACCATCGGAGCGCTTGTCGATCTATAGTATCAAGGAAGCGGGATCCTTATTGTAACATCTATATGAATTAAAAAAGTTAAAAGAAAAGGGGGAATGTGTATAAGGTTAGAGCTTTTTGTTTTACTCTATCGAAGACTCCAGAAGCCATGCTCCATAGATGAAACCGGATGCAATGAACGCCTTTCATTTTAATCCTTTCCAAAAACCCGAAAGCTGATCATCAGGCAATCTACATTATACGCCATATTTGTCCACCATGGCCATTTACTGGAGGAAACGGTTCCATTAAAATCAAGCCATGCCTTCTGCAGCATCGCTGTTGTTACTCATTAATACAATTCGCCTAACTGGGCAACTGGTCTGGCGAACGAATTATTGAAAGGGCTTGATGTACGTGAAGTAGATTGTATGTCAGGAGGCCCTGGCTGAGCAAAACAGGCGATGGTGCGACAATGCCCCAGTTGGAGGGTGTGGAGACAAGAGGTCAGTCCACACATACAGAGCAAGTCGAATTACATGTATACAATTGTGATTGTACTTGGCGTCGGGTGTCGGGACTTACAGAAGCCAAAGGTAATAAAGGAGAAGAAAAAAAAAAGAAATATAAATTGCAACCTAAGATAACCCCAAGGTTAGAACCGTCCAATAATAATGGTCAACACGGCACTTCCATCTAGTGGAGACAAAAAAAAGTAGATATAGTAGTTTGCCTTAGTATCCGGGTATAGCCTCAACGGTGGCTAGTCTGAATTTTAAATTGGGTTGAACTGGTAAGTGTGCCTTGACCCTTAATGTATCACATAATTAGCGCGTTCTGATAGTTCGGCTTGGGCCGAGCTCGGACTCGAGTCACATGAGATCTCTTTGAGGCCATTCCCCTTTAGATCTAGCGTTTCCGATCGATGTCCGAATGACTAAGGCCTCTTACAGCCCTGGAGCTCCCGAGGTCCCCCCGGGCAACAACGCTAAACCTACAAAGGGAATTATAATCCCGTGATCTTGAAAGCGAAAACTGAGACACATCCCCCTCGCATCAACAATTCACATAGGGGTGATCTTCGACATTCGCTATCAGAGGCCATTAGCCGATTGAAATACTACAGCTGGGGTGCAGAAAGAGCCTTTATTAGGGACCGAGATACATACCGTCACTTCCTCCACCGTCCCACCCCGTCGTTGTGGAGACCAGCCGTCCACTCTCGACATCCCACCGCAACTGGAAACTCTAACTGTTTGCTGTCGCACTGCTCAACATCCGACTAGACATCATGGGGTTCGGTCAGTTCGACGCGATATGTGAGAAGGCACCCGTACCTTTGTGCTCCTTGGTGGGCCCGGCATCGACAATCTCCGGGTCAACAGGCATCATATCCAACTGCTATGCGCGAAATATTGAGCTGGCGAATACCATAATCTTCCAGGGTGCCGCGTCCTTCATGCATATCATGGCGCTTAGCATGACAGTGATCATGATCCTGCACGTTCGGTCCAAGTTTACTGCCGTCGGTTCGTCTCTGACTCCCTCTCGGTCACATCTGGCGCAAACTGACTAACCTTGTCCTTATCGATAGGCCGCAAAGAGATCGTCACCTTCTTCTATATCTACCTAGCTTTGACACTTTTCTCTCTTCTCGTTGATGCAGGTGTCGTTCCCCCAGGGAGCGAACCGTTCCCATACTTCGTGGCTGTTCAGAACGGCTTGACATCCGCGCTATGCACCTGTCTTCTCGTCAACGGGTTCGTCGGATTCCAGCTGTACGAAGACGGTACAGCCCTCTCTGTGTGGTTGATTCGAGTCCCCTCCGCAGCGATGTTCGCGCTCTCGTTTGTGATATCGCTGGCGACTTTCAAGTCGTGGGGCTCGATGGGTCCCCAGAATACCACGGGCTTGTTCGTGGTGTTATACCTGCTGAACGCCATCTCTATCGCTGTGTACCTGGCTATGCAATTGCTCCTAGTTGCAAATACACTGGATGACCGCTGGCCGCTGGGCCATATCTCCTTTGGTGTGCTGGTCTTCATCATTGGCCAGGTTCTCTTGTATCAGTTCAGCGACGTTGTCTGCAACAACGTGCAGCATTACTTGGACGGACTTTTCTTCGCTACATTCTGCAATCTCCTCGCTGTCATGATGATATACAAGGTAAGTTTACGTTTCACGTTTGTGGGCTTGATTATGCTAACTTTCTTTAGTTTTGGGACTCGATTACCAAGGAGGATCTGGAATTCTCCGTCGGTGTCAAGCCGAACACTTGGGAGGTTAAGGACCTTCTGTCTGAGGAAGACCGCCGAGCTACGGTCTACCCAGACAATAACTCCGAATATGCGGGCAGCATGTACCACCATCGCTCTTCGGCGTACGGTCATCATAATTATTAATTCGTGTTCTTTTTCTTTCATTTCTCTTGTCATTTTTTTTTTCATTTCAAAATTTATCTTCCATCCCAGCGCTGTATATGTGACTATTGACTTCATGATATCTCATCTACTTTTTCCTTTCCGGGGATATTCAAATGCCTCCACTATGTTGACGCCCTAAGGCACGCTTTCGGGCATGGATATGAGTTACATCACCTTCGCATAATAATTACATGGTTTATCAAGTATTGATAAGAGTACAATAACTGGAAGATATTTTCGCTTTTTACTCTTCCGATTAAGTCTTGGCACAGAGTGGAGTGTACTCAGGATACGACTACGAGAAACGAAAAGGTTCCGGTTTGAACTCAATTTGCTTTGTTGGTGTGTCGATCACGCATGATACTCCGTATTGCGCTCTAAATTGGGGTTCCAGATATAAAATATTATCTCTGTTGTATGTCTCAGAATTCACCTGCTCCAGTTCGACCCAGCGCTAAGTTCGTTTGGGAAGAAGTTATCATCCCTCTGAAAACCATTTGCCCGGGCGATATCTCAGAGATAGACTACGCAGCAAGGTATTGCAGACTTATGTAAAAGAAACGTAAGAAAACTTGGAAGTGTTAGCATCCTTCCGCGACATTTTGCGGCGACTGAAAATGGACCAGGCAGATCCCGAAGAACATCTTGGGGCCGCGTCACACCAGCTCAAGGGTGTGGTCGCTAGGCAGGACGATCGCCGGGAGAGTGAGACAAGTGGTACATAGGATCAGCACTGCCATACTCCCCAACGAAGAAAACCCCACTGAGACAACCACCGGCATGACTGCTTAGAATGGCAAAACGGAACGAATACGGCGGCGACGCTTTGTTCTGGACCTTGAGGGATGATCAAGGCCCATTGGCGTTTTTAATGCCTGCAGAGAATGAACCTCGATACCATAGTAATCATGTTTTTGTGCATACTATTCGCTGTACGCTAATGTGCAGTGCACGCGGACCGAAGTCTAAGTAAGTGGTCTGCCGATCGGGGGAGGGGCCCCGTGGGTAGAGTTCTTGTAGAAGGTTCTAAGTCGGCAATAAAAAAAATAAGGAGGAATTGTGGAGCGGCATATTCGAAGGATCGGAAGTTGTGATCTCAGCCAACGATGACAACGTCATCACCATCCATGGAGTCCCCGTCTGTTTTGGGTTCTGTGTCCTATCTTGCATGTGGGTGCTTGATATCGTCTTTCTCGACTGGTTCGGTGGACGAATCATACCAGCCTTTGTCTATCGATTTAACCAAGACCGCACACGCTTCACTGAGCATCTCAAAAAATGCAGGATTCTGTTTGTACAGAAACATGGTGACATGCGCGCTGGTTTCGTCAGTCGCCTGGTCGTTAACGGCCCTGGTCCACAAAAGTCCTGGACTTCGAGATTCCTCGCCACGTTCCACCTCCTCTGGCAATGAACAGAACGTCCTGTTCCTCGACCTGATGATTTTTTGACTGAAGGATGTCTTGTTTGCTGATGTGTTTTCCACCAGACTCGTCGCACTTTTTCCGAGGCATGTGTAGAAGTTCACACACCCGATTCCGCGTTCCTGCTTAACATTCGACAATTTCACGATACGCTGGTGCAATTCTGATGTACGCGCGAGACAACCGACAAACTCAAGGTGCGATGATACCCATCCGAATCCATCGGTGAGCTTCTGGCGCTGTGTATATATGGCTGCACCGCCAGCGGCAACAGCACCAGCCGCGCCGGCGAACATTGCATACTTACCCCATCGTTGCCAAGGAGGTGTCGCGGCGGCGTCGGATGTGGAAGGCAATCCTTTAGGGTGCTCTTGCGGAGGTGCGTTGGTGCTCCCCTGATTTGATGCATTACCCTTCCCACCGTAACCGAATAACCCTGCAGCCTCGGAGAAGGTGTTGTAGGCAGTTGCAGCATTGCGGTAATGTCCTTCTGCGCCGTATGACACGACTCCTGGCGCTATTCCCAAGAATGGGGTATCAAATGCAAGCACTCCTTGTATATGAGGGAACATGAAAGTACCCGGTTCCACGATATATTCAGTGCCGTCTGTGAACCCAGGCTGTGTAGTTGAAGTCGGATTCCGAGCAATTGGTTGTTCCGCGGCCAATAAAAGCAGGGCCTCCGCTCCTACTATTCCTCCCATCGAGTGACCGATCAGAAAGACATGGACCGAGGGATCGACGGTGGGTGATGCGGTATGGTTGGCGACTTCAAGATCAATCACAGTATCTTGTAACCTACGCAGAAGAAGTCTATCAGTCAGCAAAGCTTGGATTCACGAGGGACTAGAGCGGATTTTACCAATCTCGCAATCTCGCAACACATTCTTTCAAGTCACCCTTAGTCTCATACTTGGGGTAAACAGCTGTGGCGACCTCTACAGCAGGAAGTGCTTTGCTTGCAAGGACGCGAAACTGCTCAGGGAACGTGCCAAAAGTATCATCGCCACCCTAGAAATGGAGTTAGATAACGTAGGCAATAGGCTGAAACCAAATATCCTTGAGCTGAAATCTGTAATACTTTGCGGAACCAGGTCTTCAGCAACAGGTATTTAACATACCTTAAAGCCGTGAATAAAGACGAGTAGCACGGTTTTCCTCATTTTGAAATTCTCCACATAGTCATGTTCATAAAATAAACATAGGGAGTGGTTCGAGGAGGATAAGAGGAAGCCGAGATCCGACTTAGTCTGTTGATGTGAATTACGTCATGTTACCTGTATGCAGCCACGTGACTATATGATCTATACAAATATTTAAAATCATTCACAGCTTCCCGAGGTCTGATCCTGTGTATATTTGTGAATTCCACTCTGGTTAGGGTTTATGTTCTTCTACAAACCGAATTCGATATCCATTTAACTTTTGGATGCTGCAAATTATATATCCCCAAAGACCACACAGACCCAAACGCTTACATACCATCTCATAAACTCCAATTTGACCCGGATATCCTGCATATTTGTCTCATTCCCAACGCCGTATCAACACAACGCTTTCCAATTTGTGGCTGAAGCTCAGATTTGACTCCAAGAATGATCAGCTCAATGCCGATTTTAGTGTGACACGGCACATGCGGTGACATGACCTGACCGCAAGCTTTCCATAGCACTGTTGGCATTCCCAATAGCATTGCCTGTTGCCGAAGGGGTGCACGGCTCATTTGTATTCATTGGCGGGATGGTTGTCCCGGGAGCGGTGCTAACAAGTCCCTTGGATACAGCAAAGCAGGAAGAGCGGTCATGGTTGAGGTTCTCGCCATAGAATTCATCAAGAATTGGGTGAAGCATAACAGTCTGCTTGTGGATGGTGACGACTGAATTGGTTGGAACTGACACCCAATTGTCTGTGTATAAGATTAGCATATGTTAATAGGTATGGGGAGAGGGGGAGGGAAGGCTTCTCACGTCGTTCAAAGGTGATGGGCTCACTAGCCACGAGGACGATATCGGCACCTTTATCGTGTCGCTCCATCTTGAAGTGTCCTTTCGTTTCACCTTCCTTCCACTTGGTACCGGAAGAGAAATACAAGCTGGCCGGTTCGTCCGTTTTGCTGCTGATGTACCGAGTGCAAACAACAGTATGGCCGTCTGTCACAGCGAAGTTCAACAAACTCCGAGTCTCAACTCCAGTGACATTATATTTCTCTGGAATTTCTTGAACCATTTCATTGATTCTGGCAATAGTTTTCACCAAGACACGACGTAGAAGAGCTTGTCCGAATCCCTCAGGGCCGGGGTCAGAGCTTGGATCTACTCCTTCCTTTTCTAGCAGGTCAAGGAAAAGGGCAAAAGCCCACTCACTGTCGGTGCCACCTTTCACACCTAGGTACCACTTGTCGGCGAGTGAGCTTCCTAGCGTACGCTTGATGTAGCTCCACCCGCCGATGCCACCATTGTGCATCCACATCAGGGACTGGTGCTGGAACGGGTGGCAATTGTTCTCGGCAAGAGCACCCTCAGTTGTTGCGCGCACATGCGCAAAAATCAGATCTGAGCATGTCTTTGCAGCGAGTCGCTCTAAATTCTCACAGTTCCAAGCTGGCAGCGTTGAAGTAAAGATGCAAGGCTCTGGTCCAAGCTTGGGATCTGTGTAGAAACCTACACCAAACCCATCACCGTTGACAGGACGGCGGTTGTCCTTGGTATTGCATGTCAGTGGGTTGCGACATGCTAATCACGTGGGTCTGGCCTATGGAGATGGGATAACCTACCAGTCTCAGACGTGAATCATATGATTGAGTAAGGATTGAATGACTTGGCTCGGTTATCAGCTTGCTGAGACGGATCTCATTTCGCCCTTTGTATATCTGACCGAGATATTAGCTTTAAGCCCAATGCTTGGAAGGATGGCCCTGACCAGGAATCGACACATGTTTGGTCTGGATCATATACAATTGAAATGGCACTGTGTAAAATACCACTTCCAACTTTATTAGAAGCTTTAAGGTGTATAACTTGTCGTTCGAACAAGGCCGTACTCGTGTTCAAAGAATGTATCAATAGACTCGATTTCGTGGGGGGTCGGGATAAGAGTCACCGACTGTTGGGAACCGGTGAGATGTCCAAACGTCAACCACGATCTTACAGCCCAATGACAATATGTTCGGGATGTAATTTAGCTGCGGTTTACAAGGAGGGAAGAATGTTATTATCAAAATCAACACAAAAGAGTAAAGTCACTTCCCTTGCACAGCACGTCATGTTTCACGTGACAAGGTTATTACGGGAGGCTACGCGGCTACTTGCGCAAGTCACGGGAACTGTTACATAAGTTATGCCTGATGTCAGTGATCCGGTAATATACAAAGACCATCATCACATTTATTTCCATCTTCTATTGAATGCTACCACAACAATAATGAGTGGGAGGATACTCTCCCATCGACTAGGACCGCTATTGCGGAACGGTCACCTAGCTCGCCATATTCACAATGCAGGCTCAAGGACCGGCGGCCTGCTACGGGCAGATGGTGGCGCTACTCTCAGAGGACGCGCATGGCCAGTGGGCGCAAATGCCATCCACAATGTCCCTGCAGTTCGATCAATCTCATTTGCTCGAATGCTTCCGAAGCTAGCATTGAAGCTTGTCAAGGTTCCGGCTATGTTCGGTGGTGCGACAATCGCCGGTCTAGCTTATTTCCAATACCAAGCAACTCGTATGTCTCTCATCCATGAAGCTTGCTACAAACAGAATCCGAAGCTAATTTTATCTCATAGAGGCCGGTAACTATGCGATGGATGTCTTCAAGCAAGCCTCGGAGACTGCGGGGAACACAGCTTCGACCTTGTTCCATGGACTGCAGGACATGGCGGATCAGACACAACGCGGGTGGAACAAGACGACCGAAGACATTGACATGCCTGACTGGCTGCAGAAGATCCTACGCCTCGACGAGGAGTCTCGAAATGGCGATTCATCTGGTGGTGGAGGCAAAGAGCCGAAACAAAGCCGGGCTGGTACTGCTGCTGCTGCTGCCGCTACTACTACAGCGTTTGGATACGATCAATCGGGGGAGGAAGATTTACGGCCGGGGAGAGATGCTGCAGAGGATGATCAAATGATGCTTCTCACGCGCAAAATGATCGAAATCCGAAATATTCTCCAGACCATCGGCCAGTCTGGCACGCTCACTCTTCCGTCGATCGTTGTGATTGGATCCCAATCGTCGGGTAAAAGCTCTGTTCTTGAGGCTATCGTCGGCCATGAGTTTTTGCCCAAGGGCTCAAACATGGTGACTCGGCGGCCAATCGAGCTCACGCTAGTTAACACCCCCAACGCTCAGGCAGAATACGGTGAATTCCCGGCCCTTGGTCTCGGAAAGATCACGGATTTCTCTCAAGTTCAGCGCACACTCACAGATCTGAACCTTGCTGTTCCTGAAAAGGATTGCGTCACAGACGATCCCATTCAGCTCACGATATATTCCCCCAATGTTCCGGATCTATCTTTGATCGACTTGCCAGGGTATATCCAGGTTGCGGGCCGCGATCAGCCCCCAGAGCTCAAGCAAAAGATTGCTGATCTTTGCGATAAATACATTCAGCCGCCAAATGTCATTTTGGCGATCTCGGCTGCCGATGTTGACTTAGCAAACTCGACAGCACTTCGAGCCAGCCGTCGAGTAGACCCTCGGGGTGAACGGACTATCGGTGTGATTACGAAGATGGATCTTGTCAGCCCCGAACGTGGCCACGCTGTTCTTTCCGATACAAAATACCCCCTTCGGCTAGGTTACGTGGGTGTTGTTACCCGGATTCCTCAAACAACAGCTCTCTTTTCCAGAGGCTCTGGAAACATTACCAGCGCTATCCTCAAGAATGAACATGCCTACTTCTCTGCGCATCAGAATGAATTCGGTCCTCACTCTGACGTCTCGGTTGGTGTTTCGACACTACGGAAAACGCTGATGCAGGTTCTTGAACAGACCATGTCATCTAGCCTGTCTGGAACCAGAGACGCTATCAGCCAAGAGCTTGAAGAGGCAACCTATGAGTTCAAGGTTCAATATAATGACCGGCCTTTGAGCGCGGAGTCTCACTTGGCTGAGAGCCTCGATGCTTTCAAGCACTCCTTCAAGGCTTTCGCAGAAAGTTTCGGGCGACCGCAGGTTCGGGAGATGCTCAAGGCAGAATTGGACCAGCGAGTCATGGACATTCTGGCGCAGCGCTACTGGAACAAGCCAGTCGATGACTTGGAACCTCCACTGCTGGAATTAGATCCCCTCAAGGATCTTCCCAAAGCCGATGCTGAGTCGCTATATTGGCACCGGAAGCTTGATGCTTCTACCTCATCGTTAACAAAGCTTGGAATTGGTCGCTTGGCTACGACTGTTGTCGCCAACGCCCTCAACAACCATGTGGACTCGCTTCTAGCCTCGTCTACATTCGCCTCCCACCCTGGCGCCCGCAAACAGATCACCGATGCATGCACCAGTATCCTGAATGACAAATTCTTCAGCACCAGCGATCAAGTCGAAAATTGCATCAAGCCATATAAGTTTGAGATCGAGATCGAAGATCCTGAATGGGCTAAAGGTAGAGACAACGTGGGCAAAGTCCTAAAGGAGGAGCTCAAGTCGTGCGAGTTGGCCATGAAACATGTGGAGGACTCTGTTGGAAAGCGAAAGCTCAAAGATGTTATCGCGTTTATCGACAGAGTGCGAAAGGGCGAAGTAGTACTAGAGGGCAACGGCGAGGGTGGTGCGGGTGGCTTCAGTGCCTCCTTGTTGGAGAGAGGTTGGTATTCCTCTTTTCTTCTATTTACAGACACTGACGTATATTATCTAGGACGGGAAGGCCTCTTCCTTCGGGACCGAGCGGATCTTATCAAGATGAGAATTCTCGCCGTCCGGTCAAAGCAATGCGCAACGCAAAGGAACAAGTACTACTGCCCAGAGGTCTTCCTCGATGTTGTGGCAGATAAACTCACCTCCACGGCCGTGCTATTCCTTAACGTTGAGCTCTTATCCGAGTTCTACTATAATTTCCCACGTGAGCTTGATTCAAGACTTGGACGACACCTTTCAGACGAGGAGGTTGAACGGTTTGCCCGTGAGGATCCCCGCATCCGCCGTCACTTGGACATCATCCGCAAGAAGGAGCTGCTGGAGCTGGCTCTGCAGAAGATCGAAGGCATCCGACAGCTTGACGGCCGCGCCCGGAAACCAGAGCGTGCGCCTCCTGGAAAGGAAACGCGGAGCCGTTGGAACCTTTTCTAGAGGATATGATGTTTGGGCTTTCAGAATCTTCCCCCTACGCGAAACAACCTGAATATTCGATACCTCTGCTAGTGTTCTCATCACTCTATCCTGTTTAGCCATCTTTCCCCCTTATCTTCCTCTTGGGATACTCGTACGTATCTCTAAATGCTTTGAAGTCAATGTACATAGCTCTAGGCCATCCAATACACAAATGCTAATCTGTTGAATATATCCTCCAAATATTTCTTCATTCTTGATCTGTAGAAATCCTAGCTACCACGGAGTTTGGCCACGGCCTACGTATGAACATAGCAGGTAACCTATCATCGTAAATGAGGCTTCCTATCAAAAAGCCAGGTTACACAAAGCCCATCCACTCCGTGGACAGTGCTCCCTCTCCCCAGTCGTCGATTATTTGCTTGATCTCCTCCAGACTATGAAGGATACGCGCCAGACTGTTGCTCTCGCGAGCCCAAAGATAGTACCTGCCGTTTGATTCAAACATAGTGCCGCAATGATCTTGAGACATGAACACGGGTACACAATTGGTGAGGCCATAATTACTGGTCATGAGCTTTTGAGCACCGTATTCTCCCTTCCATTCATCGTATTCAAGTACCACTGGATCACTCGAGAATCCAAGAGGGTCAGTCGGGGCCCACTGTTGTCGTCAGCTTTGGCTTTGATGGAAGGGGAATGATATACTTACTCGTGTTGGTTTCGTGCCGTCCCGCGGCTTCTCTCGCCAACGTGGACTCCCTGGTGGAGGCACGGGTTCATTCGAAAATATAGTCTGTGGCATTAGACCGGCAAGCCTTCTAGATCGGCGAGGCTTCCAACTAGGTTAGCCTTGTTCATGACATATTCAAACCAGCCTCACCGGATAATTGATCCTCTTTGGGTTTGGTAGCTTTGACTTTCTTGATGCCATTTCCCTCACGTAGCTAGTTTGGAGATAGCAGTGAAGAATATAGGCCAGCTTTTATGGTGTGAGCAACCATCAATAAAGATATAATGCCCTCCGTAAGAAAGGGTCATATGTCTGAAACAAAGAAATCGTGCTTATAAAAAGACATGGGATGGTTTGGTCTTTTGTTATCCTTCTTTCATAGTGCTGCTATTATTACTCGACTATTTATATTTACGGCAGTCAGATACATCTATAATTGCACTCCTTGAATATTGTTTCAAGGCATTCAATGAGTTTGGCCTTTCATAATCTACGCTATTTTGAAGTCGACAGGCCTTTCATGACGACTAAGAGGTCCTCGGCAAAGAAACAAACCGCCAATATGTGGTTATTTATACGGGGACTTACCCACCAAGCTACATAGAAGAATATAACAACGGCAATGTCAACAACCCCGATAACCCCTTCCACCGAGGCATATTTGCCGGCTTTCAATGACCAACTGAACTTAAAAGATGCATACGCTTGGAGCCTAACACAGGTGAGTTGCTGCAACTGTAGTGTTCTTCGATCTTCCCAGGGGACAATTAAGCTGACTCTGCGCAGATTAAAGCTTTCATGATCGACGTTATACATGACCCTTCTGCCTATGGGGTGGAGCCGAACCTCGTAGCAGAATTGAGAAGTCTACGCATCGATATCCTCGATCTCAGGTGAGTTGGATGTCCGCTAGACCTTAATTTCTGTCAACTAATTGAATTCTTGCAGCGAAAATGGGAGCAGATATCTGTCTGAGACCACCTACCCTCAAGCGATTTCGAGGATAGTTAACCCAAAGCATAGCGAGGTTGAATCATATTTCTTGTTGGATAGCATGACATATGGAGGTCTTCAATACTGGTCCCCCTTTGACCTTTTAGGTAGGTTCCTTTCCCTTATTAGCCCAGCACCCCAAGGTGCCACGCGGTATAACTTCTACTTACCCCTGACGCTACTGTACGCCAAGTGGTGTATGAAGGTAGCTCCGATGTACCCGTGGGCATCTTCGTGCGTCTGGGCAGAGGAAAATGGTAAGCAGAGCCGGTTTCACCTAGGAGGATCGCTCGGGGGATATAACAATATGGATGGGCAGGCCGACCAGTGGAGAAAAGTCCTGCAACGAGCCCGTTTCGATGTTCTTCGCGATGAAAGAATTGACGCAGCGGGGATAACAATATATTCTGGAGCAGTAGGCGCTCAAAGAAACCGTGTTGTTTCCTTTGGAAACTGCGGAGAAACCTATCCTCTCGTACAAATTCTACGGTGAGTCTATTCTTTGGGATCCTACATGTTCCATACTAACGAAGTAGGAACCGTGGCCCTAACGAAGAGGTATATGGTGTTGCAGTGAAGCGTCTGGGCCTACCCCCGGACACATACAGCCATGCGGAAGCATTGAAGACATTGGCGAGACCTTGCGAGAATTGTCAAAGGGTGATAACAGTCTGGGGTGGAAAGGTAGAGAACTTCATCACAGATGATATGCCAGAGAGAGTTTTTACTGGGCCTCCGAAAAAGCAAAAACCTGCAGCTGGAGGACGTAAACCAGCATCTGAATTGAAGATCGCTTTACCATCCCGTCCTAAACGGCCTGCCCCGGCGGATGGCACCGATGAGCCTACGGCAAAAAGGGCCAAAGGCCCGACGCCTGTGATTCCTTTAAAGCCACCAGCTCATTTCGAGGGTAAATACAAAAATCAGTGAAGGTACAGAGGCTTGTAAAGTTCGAAAAGCGGTGTTTTTATAGATATATATAGATAGATAGACATATAGATGTAATCTTGTGAAGCTTATAGAAAACAAATGTATTTGAAGGAATGAGTTCTTATACCATATCTCTTTTCCCATCAGCATCCACACTTCAAAGGAACACAGCCACCGGAACTATACATACAGCTCTATGTGGTTAGACCATATCCACGTGAGATTACTCCGCTAAGTAGAGATTTCTCATTGCTTACTCCATACTGTTCATGGTCTTTCCTCTTACAAGAGCTTGGTATCTGAAAAATGGGTTTAGACAACTTTTCCCAAGAACTCATAGAGATCATTCTGTTATTGATAAAGGATGAGCAAACACTCTTACTCGCCCAACGAGTCTGTCGACGCTGGGCCCTTCTCATACAAGGCTCCCGGGCACTCCAACAAGCCCTATTCTACCAGCCTATCGAATCCACACCCCCAAAGAAAACCACCCCACGACAAAATCCCTTGCTAGCAGCAAAGTTTCCATACTGGTTCCCCAAGGAGGATCAGATATTCCGCGATATCTTATATGGGGCTGGGGACATGCAATACTTTCTAGACAAACACGCCGCATGGCTCCGTCCAAGCGCAAGTTGGCGCCGAATGCTGGTCCAACAACCCCCAGCAATGTCGCTCGGCTGGATAGACCGCCAAGAGACATTTACCGCCCATGTCGTTATGCGCCAGTGGGAACTTTCATTGGAAGAGTACGGTGGGCTCCGTATGAACATGCTATACGATCTGGTTGTCAGATCCGCGGAAAAAGCGGCACAGTTCTTTTACTGGAGGATGCATTGGAACCGTCCTGGCTTGGAAAGATCTTCTATCAGGTGTAATCCGGATATCCAGATGGACAGTATAGACTACTACCTCGAAGCGATGATGTCGGCCAATGCGCAGACGGATATCGTGCTTGATACGTGGAGCACACTACATCCTGGACCTCATATTAAGATGGAATTTGGTAAGGATACTTGGTCGTGGGAATTGGTAGAAGGACTTGAATCGCCGATGGGAGATGTAAATCTTGATGCAGTCTATGCCTCGAGAAAAGCTAAGGAGCCGCGAAGCTGGGAAGTGAGCCTGGAGACCTGGTATGCGGAAGAAGTGCATGGGTTTGGGGATGGATACCCTCTTCTGGGTGACAGTGATCCAGATCTGTGACATTGGGTCTCAGAAGAGAGAAAGGAATGTCGTCCAGCTAGTAAGAGGTGAAATCCACAAGTGTTGACCACATTCTCTAGGGGGGAAAAGATAATTCACAGAGGGAAATAAACAAGTTCAATACAACAATCCCAGACCCAGTCTATATATTCTGATAGCGTACAATACAGTCTAAAAAGAAACCAAAAGCGAAACAAAGAAGACGCGAATTAATGCTTTTGTCTCTGGGCGGAACCAATCGCAGCACCAACAGTGAGTCATCAGAAAAAAAGACGGGAAATGGAGATGACTATCAGAGTCACAGGTGCAAAGAAAGATAAAGACAATGATAGTGGGGGTGGCATAAGGGGGGCGTAGCGGAACACATTATACAGTCAATGTGTCAAGGGAGGCATTGAATAACCAAAAGAAAAAAATGTAGTGTAGATGGCAATATTACAGAAGATCATCGAACCTGGGTGGAGATGTTTACTCCCGTGAGACATCACGACCGAAGAGACGAGCCTTGACCCAGTCAACGCAGACAAGGACACGGTTGCGAGCTGGATTATATGTTAGTGATGAATCTCAATCAGTGTTGGATAGAACTTGGGGAACTTACTGCTGAAGCACATGCTCAGGTAGGCACTGCGCCAGAACAGGTAGGTCAGAGTGCCACCGCTGGCAATGTTGCCGCTCAGCCAGCTGATATCGGCCACGGCACGCTCCTTACCGATGTAGGCCAAGGAGCCCTGGTGCGAGTACTGGAAGGGACCGATCTGCTTGTTGCGGCGGAGCTGCTTCTGGCGTTCACGGATCTCGTCGAAAATCTGGTTGCGCTCCTCGTCGCCCTTGGCCTGGGCCTGGCGCTCTGAGAGGGTCTCTAGCTCCTTCTCGAGAGCCTCAGTCTTGGCCATGGTGTTGAAGAGGCGGCCCAAAAAGGCACCCTCCTGGCTAGCAACCTGGGCGGTCGGGGCGTAGTTGGCAATGGCGCAGTCGCCGACGGCCCAGACGTTATCGGTACCGTTCACGACGAGGTATTCGTTGACAGCGAGACCGCGGCGGGACTCGGCTTGGGCGGGGATCTGGGACATGAGGTCGCGGACGACGCCGCGGATGGCGTTACCGGTAGCCCAGACGAGAAGACCGTAGGGGATAGTCTCGAGCTCCTTGGATCCGTCGGGCTTGGTGACCTCGGCCTGGATGTACTTGTCGGTAACCTTCTTGACCATAGTCTTGGTGCGGATGGAGATCTCCTCCTCCTTAAAGGTCGATTCGGTGTATTCAATCAGTTGCTTCGAGAACATGGGCAGAACGTTGGGCAGAGCCTCGACGAGAGTGACGTGGAAGTTGTCCTTGATTTCGGGAATCCACTTCTTCAAGTCATCGTTGAAGAAGTCCTGCAGTTCACCGGCGAATTCAACACCGGTGGGGCCACCGCCCACCACAACCATGTGCAGCAGACGCTTGACCTCGTCCTCAGTCTGATCCTTGAAACAGGCGGTCTCGATACAGTCCATAATACGCTTACGAATGTTCTGGGCGTCACCGACTTCCTTCAGGAAGCAGGAGTTCTCACGAACACCGGGAATACCTATACGTCACAAAATTAGTCCAAAATACATCGTTGCAGATGCGAGAGAGGGACCCACCAAAAGTCGCGTTCTCGGCACCAACGCCGATCACAAGCATGTCAAAGGGAACCTCGGTGTGCGAGATATCACCCTTAATTTCCGAATCATCACTGATGTACACGATGCGCTTCTCATAGTCGATCTTGGTAGCCTCAGCTTCGTAGAATTGAACGCTGGCCTTCTTGTGGCGCAGAATATTGCGGATAGGCTCCATGATCGAGCGGTGCTCGATCAAACCGGTGGTACATGAGGGCAGCAAGGGAGTGAAAAGGAAGTAGTTACGGGGGGAGACGACGATAACGTTGTAGTTCTCGGTATCAATTTTCTTCAGGAGGGACACGGAGCCCCAGCCAGTTCCTGAACAAACATGGTCGCGTTAGTGACACTTCGGCCATACGGGGATCGACGATCGCAACCGACACATACCGAGAATGACCAGAGTCTTCTTTGATGGGTCGGGGGGGGACTGGTCCGGGGGTTGACGGAGCTCGAGGATGCTGTATGCGACAGTACCGGTCAGACCGATGGCAGAGAGCCAGGTCAACCGCCAGGCCCAACGCAGAGCTCTGAAACGCTTCTTAGGCTTCGGTGCCGGCGAAGGGGCAGCATCAGCGTAGCTACGACGAGCGATACGCGACACCGACTGGGAAACTTTAGTGGATCGCATCGGCTTTGCGTGAAGGGCCAGCTGCGAGGTCGACATCGACCTGCGCGTCATCGATGACAGCTGCATGATGGACGGAGCCATCTTGCGAATTGCTAGCGTACTGCCAGCCATTGTGAGAGGGCACACCAAAGGTATCAAAGGGAATGCAGGAATGAAATATCAAGGGCGGAATAATTTAAGAAAGGAAAAAAAAAGATTTGATAAGCTCCATTATCGCGTTGCTGTTTTGGGCGAATCGGTGTAGCCGGACCCAAAGGGGGTAACGTGTATCTAGTACATGGCCGATTGCGTGCTACCCATAGCAAAGCTAAGTACTGTCTACATTTCCTTTTTTTTTGCCTTTCTACTAATTAGAGGAGTTGATTACCCTTTAGGGCATATAAGCGATTAACGTCTAATATACTGAGAGCTGTAGATATTTACCGGCAAAACCAATAATAGCCGCTTAAGTGCTTAATCACAAGCCAAACGAAAATTACTAAAATAAAATAAAATAAAATTGGAGAACTGAGGGGACATAAAATCTCCCGGTGAGGAGAAATTAACCGCGGGGAACGTAAACTCGGTCTATCGGTCAATGTTTTGGGGTAAAACCTGCCAAAACTACGTGCTTTTGATCTAGGAAATTGATGTTTGACATAAAACATCCCGAATGAACCCCATTTTCCCCCACTCCCCCCCCAAGCCCTAGCTTCTCCGACTCTTAACCGATATTACCCGCGTATCTATTCCCGTGGACCAAATCTTACTCTACAAGGTATGCAGTTCTAAATAAATAGGGTAGGGCTCTAGCAAAATCTGGGGAAGTTCGCTCCACTTTCATCACTGCACTTTCATCACTGGTCCGGTTTCTCCCATAGAAATCCCGATGAGCCTGACAGGTAGGAAAGGTCGGCCAAAATCGGCCTGTCATCGCCAGTTGAAGCTTAATTGAACTCATGACGTGCTCAATTGGCAGCACTCGCGATCTTTTTCGCGATATTTCTCGGGTCAGTCGGACAATGTGACTGATACTTCACCGTGTTATTACCGCTGGGAGTTGATATCAGCTCCGGGGGTGACAGGGCTAGCGTCTCGTGATAGATTAGTATGACGCATCATAAAAAGAAAGCTGCTCGCTGGAGAGTAGCTAGCAGGCTTAGCACCTCAAATATAAGATAGATCAAGAAAAGTACGGAGTATCGGGGATGCTTTCAATATGTCCTTTTCATCGTGCAAGCCAATATATCAGATGAAACATCGTCCCAGGAGCTTCATTTCCATTGGCCAATGTAATTTTTGCAGGTATGCTGCTGTATGCTTATATTACCGAAAGGCAGACGAGAGTCGTCCATTGATTCCGAGGCATATATGACCTCAGATCCTCAAAAGTGTCAGCAGAACATGCATTACGTATAAGCCAGGATATCAACCAAGATATCATGATCCGATGTGACAGACACTTAGACATCAAGAGCAATGCTGAATGTGCGATTGGAACAGAACAATATCATATCCAACAACACAGCGATAGGATATCGTCCGTGAGATCCGATGTCAACACAAACACAAAACCAACAACGCCAATAACCAGGAAGGTGACTGGGTATGATATGATATGCGTAGCACAATATATCATCCAGCGAGGTTCCCAAGTCCTTTCATATATCACGAAGATAAGCAGTCCGACCCTGCAGCCCTGGCAGCAATAGCAGAGCCTGGACACAAAATTTACACGTATCTACAAGCGACAGCCTGGATGGATTTCAAACACGACGGCGTTGATGAATGCCCCCTTACCCGCTTACAGAGTATGCAAGTAAGCAGTGATGGAGGCCTGGAACTGGTGAGCCTGTCTATTGAGTAGGCTGAAACACTGCTTGACGAGTGTACAGGTGTGATGTCATGCGGGTATGAGCATAATATCACCCTTTTGTTAATTATTTGCCCCGCCTTTGCTTGTCTATACGTCAAAATCTGGATTGCATCTGGGTTGGTTGGGTATATCGGGGTATCCGTGTCGGACGAGGTATCATATCTTCATTGGAGGGTGTTGAAGGCACGAGTATGCAAGATGCGGATTAGATTGGTTTAGTATAGAATATCTTCAGTTGTGCTTCCTTTTGCCCCCCATCGGCCCTGTCTGGTCGGATTTGACATCGCTTATGCTTCGGGTCTTCATAGGGTTCGTTTGTGTGTTACGGGAGATATATGAACATAGCCGCACTGCGAGATGAGAAGGTGGCCAGTCGGTTCATGACATATCTCGGATCCGGGATATGTGAGGTTCCATTATGGCTATGGCGAGGCCGAATTATGATGTTTCAAGTGCTGCTGTGGCTTCGTGTCTGTATCTGAGGATAAAGCCTGGATGTAGAACCGGTGATATTCCATTAGGATTTCGCCTTGTCTTTCAGATTGATTATGCCTTGCATTCTTCCATCAATGTTGATTGGTTAGTTCGGTTGGATGCACTTGTTTGGTGGGGAAGGATTGTCGTTGCCTTGAGTCTGTCAGCCGAAAACCTCCATTAGTTTGAAGAAACAAGACATCAAGGTTGATGTCAACGGCTATAGCTAGTTATTCCGATTCACAGATCAGCGATCTGCCATTTCTGGTTTCAACGAGTCAGATAAGACGATATGGAGTATATATCAAATAGAAAGTAAGGCGACCATCGCTTGAATCATCAACAGCGACGAGACAGACTCAAAGACTCCATTGGGCTTTCAGACTCAATT